GTGGGTGGCAGAAGAAAAGGTCATTTTATTGTAACCAGGAAGCAAAAAAGAAAGAATGGTGCCAGGGTCCTAATATCACCTTGCAGAGCACTTCTCCAATAATGTAATCTGTCTCTAGGCCTCCTGTCTTAAAGCTTCTACCACTTCCCAGTAGCACAATGAACTGCAGAGTAAGTCTTTAACATATAGAGCTTTGGAAAATATTCCAGATATGAGTACAGCAGACATGAATCAAGCTGGAAACTATCTACACTCTTCTACATGTGCGTTCCTAGAGAGTGATTTTTTTTTTTTTTTGCATTCTGCGCATGAAGGAGATCATGGAGTATTTGTTTTTCTCTGCCTGTCTTACTTCACGAATTAAATGTCTTCCAAGTCACCATGTTGTGAGAAATGGCAAGATTTCATGTGGTAAATGACTGAATACTGCAATATAACATTGCTAATTTCCTATCATCTTGTTTTGAAATCCTTTATAATTACTACTTGGTATTTGTTGTTGTTCTTGTTGTTGTTGAGTTAGGCTTTTTGGGTTGTTATCTGTTTGCTTGATTGCTTTTTAATTTTTCTGTGCTTTTTTTCTTTAAAATAAAAAATCAATGACTATTTCATTGTGCTTATGTACCACATTGCATAAATTAGTTCATCTAAAAAGACTGTACTAACTCAGATCCACATTGGGTCATATTTCCTCTTTCTCTGCATACTTGAATTTCTTATTATCTTTAGTCTTTTTGAAAAGAGCCATTCTTACTGGAGTGAAGAGATATCCCAGTGTGGTTTTAATTTTCATTTCCCTGATGTTTAATACTATAGAATAACTTTTTAATATATATTTGACCATTTCTGTCTTCTTTTGAAAAATATGTATTCATATATTTAGCCAAATTTTAACTAGGCTTTCTTTTATGCTATTTTCTTATAAATTCTGTATGGTAACCATCTGGCACATGCAAAATTTTTAATCAGTTTTGCACATAGTATAGGTTGTCTCTTGGGTCTATTATTTTCTTTGCAGTGCAGAAGACTTAGTTTCATGTAATCCTGTTTTCTAAATTTGGAGTTTTTGTTGGGTTATATCCAAAATATTTTCCCCAAGTCCATGTCCTGAAGCATTTGGCCAATTTTTTCTCCGAGTACTTTCCTAGTTTGAAACCTTATGCTTAAGTCTTCAATCCATGTTAACTTGTAAATAATGAGGTCCAACTGGATTCTTCTGAAGATGGAAATTGAATTTCCCTGTCACTATTGAAGAGAGCATCTGTTGTAGTTGAGGGTTGTACACAGAGAACAATTAGAATCAGGACATGGAGCTTACAATATTATTTTTATAATGGTCACTGGGAGTTAACACAAGAAAATGCAGGAAATCTATCTGCAACACCAAAGACATAGAATACTTACTCAAGGGCCTAAAGCCCACAGCAATGTCCCAAATGAGTCCATATAAAACTCAGAGCTCATGACATGCCTTCCATGAGTCCATCTGGAGGTCCAGAACCCACAAGAAGTGGTCACACCAGTCTCTTTTATAGATCCGTGCTGGGAAGGCCCAAAGGTCAGTGGTGGAAGCCAGAAAGTCAATGCCAGTGGGGTGAAGGATCTCTGCTGGTGGGATGAGGGTTCTACACTAGAGCCAAGAAGTGACACTCACAACAAAGGCCAGGACTGTCCTGAGAGGCACCACAGCCATCCTCAATGACACAGAGGCCCCAAGCTCCTAAGACAACAAGCACAGTTAGGTACATGCCAGGAGGCCAGGGTGACAAGCTCATTCTGGAGAATAAGCAGCACATTTCTTTGCCTCTGGAGTCCCAAAGTAATGTGTGATGTGAGGACAGAGCTTCTCCAGGAGAACCAATGGCTCAAACAGCAACTCTTAGGAGAAACCACAAGGTTTCAACACAACAATGCATTAATGCCTCAACACCTTAACTGTCTCACCTATTTGTGCAGGTAACTTTCCTCAGGTGGAGCATCTCTGTTCAGTGTCATGTTGATGTAATCCAGCTGAAGTTAAGTTGATCAACAGTTCTTAATCCATAACAACATCTTTTCTGAGGTGTGAGTTTTTTCAGTGGCTTATTTCCTCTTGATCAGTCTGTGATGAGGCCTGGCCATAGCACTTTTTGCAGAGCCCTCCAAATTACTTTAGAAAGGAGTGGGAATGGAGAACAGGTGATCAAAAAGTAGAGTGTATTATTCTAAGATGCTGAAAAATTAAAATAGTTGATTAAAAGATAATTAACAAAAACAGTTACTTAAAAAGATAGTTATTAATAATATTTTCATTCTGTAGTGAGCTCGTTACCCTAGTAATCAAGCACCAACCACATAGTTATAAATTAACTGACTGCATCGTTCTGCTGTTCTGTAATGCGTCATCCCCCCCACCTTAGGGACCTGTGTGCTATGTCAACTTTTGTTCCCCTTGTAAGAGACAAATGATGCTGTGTCAACCATGGTTCCCTTTATGAGAGACAAATGTTCCTGAAATTGGCAGACCAAGGGCTATGAATTGGCTAACCACCACTGTGAAATGTCTCTGACCTCAAGCAAAGGGGAACAAAGGCCCATCTTATTTCTGTTTCTCATCACTATGTACTTAACAATCAATGAGCTAATCATAAATGAACTATAAAAATCAGTCAAAACTCTACCTTGGTTGCACAGCTTTGCAAATTCCATCTGCACTGTGTCGCTGGGCCAGCTAAAATAAAAGCGCTTCTTTTAAAAAAGACGTCTTGCCCCATTTGTCATCTTGGGGTCTTGCCCCGTTTTTCATCATGGGGCCCTGTTTTTTGAGTAGAGTCCAACATTTGGGGGCTCTCCGGGATTACATGGGAACCCCTCCCCACATTTTTTCACGGATCGATTGGCTTGAAACATCTGTATTTGGATCTTTTGTTTTTTGTAATTTGAGTGCACACCTTTGAAGTTGCAGAGGAGCTTGGCTGGCTCCTTCTGCACCGGAGCGGGATGCCCTCCGGGACAGGGCTGCTAGCCCATTTGTGATTTGGGATTTTTTTTATCCATTTGGTTTTGTGCTTGGTATATTTTTACAGTGAAGCCATTTGTTCATTTGAATCTGTTACCTCAGTACTAACATTTAAATTTCTTTTTTCTCTTAAACTACTGTTGCAGGTTCCATGAGGCTTATTGGACTTAAGGGTCATAATGAAAATTTATTTCCCAGTCTGGGGATTTAGCTCAGCGGCATAAGTGCCTGCCTTGTAAGCAGGCAGTTGTGAGTTCGATCCTTGGTACTGATAAAAAGGAAAAAGACACAAAAAAATTTCCCTTTAGGTCACTGAACCATGCACAGAAAATCCTTTGTTTGTGTCTTTAATGTTGGTCTTGTTTTTTGTGGTGTCTTGTTTATTGTTTTAGTCCTCAACTGATTATGTACAACCTTGGCATGCATTTAAAAGTGTTTTTCTGGTTAAAATGTAAATATATAACAATACATATATATGTTTATGGTTTTTAAAATCATGTTGGCTTTACCGAATAAAGCCAGGTCATATTGTTTTTGAGCCACTTTAAAAAGTTATAGTTTTTAAAGTGTAACATTTTAAGGTGGTAATAAGACATAAAATGATTTAATATATTTTAGACGACTAAGAAAGTCATTTCAAGGATTTTGTTAAAAGTTTTAATGTTGTCTAAAAAGCTAGAATAAAAGGTAATTGATGGGTAATAAACAGAAACAGAAAAACAAATGTGTTCAGAATTTGACAGTATTGGATCAGTAAACTTTTACTATAAAATGTTTCCATTAAAATAAGATTATATTCTAAAAAGCGGAGGATAAATTGAAGCCCTTTGTAATCCCAAGTTTATATAATGGTAAAAAGTCAGTGTTGACCATATATAAAATATATTTGCCTATGAAAATAAAAATTAAAAAGGACTGTAATTCTCAGTCCCATCTGGACTAGAAGCCATCAGCGTTCAGAATTGCTGGACTCCTCTTCCTCACCTGCCTTTTTTCTAAGGACCTTCAGGGCCTTATTTCTCTTTTGGAATTTGTCTTCTCCATTCAACACCCCACTTGGGATGACTGCCAGCAGATTTTGCAGGTTTTGTTTACAGTAAAAGAGAGAAAGGGAAAAAAAAAATTCATGTTGTGGGACAAAAAACAGTGTGCATTCCAAATAAAAACCTGTCCTCTGATTCCGAATGCCAGAACCATGTTTTCCCTTTTTCCCGCCCCAAACAGACAACCAGAGGTAAGAAGGTTCTCCTTCAGTATCGCCAGTTGTTCTCAGAAGCCTTTAAGGGCTGCCAGAAAACCCACCAATTTGTCCAAGGTAACAGAGGTGAGACAATTAGATGATGAGTCTCCCCCGGGGTTTCTGGAGAGATTGCTAGAGGCCCATTACTTTTGTACACCTGTAGATCTGGTAGCACCTAAAAAGGCAAGGGCCATTAATAATACCTTTGTAACTGTTGGCACCTGATATTAAGCAAAAATTGTAAAGGCTTGAGAGATTTTTAAAAATGCCCCATCAGTTAGTTATTGGAGTTTGCTTAGAACTGACTCTTTCCTCCAAGCTGGTGCAAGCCATTCAACAGATTCCTGTTCCTGTGACTAAAAAGCAAATATAAAATTTCTAGGAGCCATAAGATATTGCCTGCTTTAGATTACAGACTCATGAGACCAGGCTTTTCAGCAATTAAAATCAGCCTTAACAGAAGCTCCAGTTCTAGCTCTGTCAAAGTTGCAAAAACCTCTTTCCCTCTATGTTGATAAAAAACAAGGGATAGCAAAAGGAGTACTGACCCAGAGTTTAGGACCATGGCAAAGACCTATTGCCTATCTTTCCAAGACACTTGATAATTTTACAGCCATTGCCTGCAGATGATTGCCTCGGTGACCCTCCTGGTGAAAATGGCCCAAAAGGTGACATTTGGACAAAAACTTTTAATTATCTCCTCTCATTCACTGGACACTCTCATCAAAGCTTCACCAGATTGATAGCTGACTAACTCCAGTTATGCACTATCAGGCGCTGCTCCTGGATGCAACTACTATCAGCTGCAAGGAAACAACAGCCTTAAATCCTGCTACCCTGCTGCCTGATGATGATCCCTCCTTGCCTCTCCACAATTGTATTGAGGTCATTGATCACCTCACAGGACTTCGACCAGATTTGACGAACGAGCCATTACCTGGAGTTCCATCTACTTCTCCGATGGAAGCAGTTACATCTAAAGGTAAGCAGGTTGCAGGAGCTACTGTCACTACGGACTCTCAGATTCTATGGGAACAAACCTTAGAGCTAGGAATATCAGATCAACAAGCTGAACTCATAGCTCTTACTGAGGCCCTCAAGTTGTCAGAAGGAAAAGACATAAACATTTATACTGAGAGCAGATATGCATTTGCTACTGCCCATGTTCATGGGGCCATTTATCAAGAATGAGGTTTGTTGACTTCAGGGTGCAAAAAAATCAAAAATGCTTCCCAAATTTTGGATTTTCTGTCTGCCATTTGGATGCCAAGGAAGGTGGCTATTATTCACTGCAAAGCCCATCAACTGGGAGATGATCCTGTTACACGAGGGAACAATCTAGCAGACACCACTGCCGGAAAAGCGGCCACAAAATATGTGGGAATTGAGACAGCCCCAACACTGCTGCTAATTCCACCTACTCTGTCAGAGCCCTTTTACACTCAAAAAGACTTACATTTGGAAGCTCAACTCCAAGCAAAACCTGATATCCCTGGGGGCTGGTACCAACTGCCCGATAATTGAGTCCTCCTCCACGAGGCATTGAGATGAAAACTCATCCAAGAAGCTCATCAGTCCACCCACATGGGAGGATCAAAACTCGCTGCTCTTTTTGAGATCATTTCTTTATCCCTCAGTTATCAAAGCTTACTCAGTCTGTGAGCCTTAGAAGACCTCAGTGCCAGTTGGTAAATCCTAAGCAACCACAACAAATGAAAACCACTTGATATCATGGGACTATGCCTAAAAACATTGAGAAATAGAGTTCACAAAAATAAAAAAGCCTGGACTTTAAGAGAATGAGTAATGGTAGATAGCTTTTCCTACTAAGTCTTGAGTCAGCCCTGATAGCAGTTTTCCCAATTTGGCCTCCCTTTATCCATGGGGTCTGACAGTGGCCCGGCTTTTATAGCCCAGATAACTCAAAAACTAACCCAAGCCTTGCAGATTGATTGAAAACTTTATTGTGCTTACTGGCCTTAAAGTTCAGGACAAATAAAAAGGATAAACCAGACTTTAAAAATGGTAATAACTAAGATGACATTAAAAACTATTGAGAACTCGGTGAGTCTCCTTCCTTTTGCCCTCTTTCATGCACAATGTACCCCCTATGTTACAGTTGTTTCCCCTTTAAAGTTCCATGTGGGAGACCTCCTCCTCTTATTCCTAATAAGATCTCTGAGAAAAAAATTAGCTAATCTGACTAATCAAGATCTTATTAAGTTCCTGCAGGCCTTTCAGCTAGCTCTGACTTCCATCCACCAGTTATTCTGAGAACAACAACCTCTGCCTGTGGCCCATCCTGAGGATGAACGTCCTGCAGTGAAACCTAGGACACTACTCATCAAGAGACATCACCGTGAGTCTCTCAAACCATGGTGAAAAGACCCTTACACCATGGTCTTCAACACTCTGACTGCCATCAAAATCACAGAAAAGCCTGCCTCGATTCATCATTGCCACCTCAAGCCAGTTCTGGCCTCTGACAGCAATCAACCTACAGATAAGTGGACTGTTGTTCCCTCCAAGGATTCTTTAAAGCTTAAGATTGCCAAATGTATCTGATAATCTTGTTCTTAGGTGTTATTCCTCATGGACAACTAAGGAGATACCTTGTAACCCCACTGTTTAAAACTTAAAATTACTGACTATTTCACTGGTAAATTATTGGTAGCCAATGCTACTGTCTATGAGATAATTAAGATAGATTTATGTTCCCTATTAGATAACATCCCAGCAAAATTTAGACAAAAAGTGTTGTTCGGTTTGCATGTCATGCTGCCTGATAGGTTGCTAATAGAGACTTAAAGGGACCTAAGTATTAAAAAAAAAATTACAGTCCACTGGCTGGTATCTTTGTCCCCAAAAGAAACAGCCTGCCTCTGATCATAGGTGTTCACAGTCCATAGAGACGAAATATTTTTGTAGACATTGGGGTTGTAAATTTGTATCTCCTTGACAGAAAAATAAAGAGGGTCGTTACCTTTTTCCTCACTCTGGAGACCCAATCTTCTGTTCTCCACCACTAGACTTCCTGCTCCTGACACCTTTTTGCCCTCTGTGATTTCTGTGACATCTCTAGCCCCTTCTTGCCTCTGGACATTGCGTATGGCAAATTAACTTTTAAATTCCTGTACAGACGCACCTTTTGTTGGTGGGATGCTAAGCCCCTGCTCACACTGGACAATGTACAGGGTGCTCCAGGAACCTGTGTTTACTCTGCCTCCTACTCCTTGCACACTTCCCCTTGTGCTGCACTCTGTAATCCTACCTCTTCAGCTTTGATTTATACTTTTTCCTATCCTGCTAATCAACACCTTGTTGCTCCCAATGGAGCCTGGTTTGCCTGTAGTTCTAATATAACTCCTTGTTCCATGCATCACCTGTATACCTAGTGCCCTGAGCTTTGCATATTAGTCCATATCTTTCTCCAAGTGTATTGGCACTCTCTAGATAATGGTAGGAGTCACTTGTTCCCTAGCTTTGACTTAAAGAGTCCAGTAAGAACAAAAAAAAATCCTGTATTATTTCCTGTATTACTAAAAATTGAGATAACAAGGTCAATAGGTTTGAGTGTCCAGCCTAATAGTCAAAAGACCAAAATTATATACACTTACGTGCACTCACTGACCAAGATTTAGCAGCCCTTAGTGACTCTGTCTCCAAATTAGACGATTCTTTAAGTTCACTGACTGAGATGGTTTTACAAAACCAGCAGGGTCTAGATCTACTATTCCTAAAGGAAGGAGGCCTTTGTCTGGCATTAGGAGAAAATTGTTGTTTGTATGCCAATCATTCTGGGGTTATCAGACAAAGTATGGCCAGCCTTAAAAGGCAGTTAGAGGATCAAGAACAAGCCAGACAAGCTGAACAGAATTGGTTTGAGCAATGGTTTTCTCTATCTCCCTGGTTGACAATGATAATCACAGCAGCCTCTGGACCTCTGTTAATCTTACTTACTTGTTTAACAATTGGACCTTGCATTATAAACAGATTAATAAATTATGTCAAAGACCGGGTTCAAACAATAAAACTCATGGTTTTAAGGACACAAGTTTATGAACAAATACCACTTCTTGAAAATTCCATGAGCCAATGATTTGGTTCACTGACAAAAATCAGTGGGGAAAGTTATACTAAGATGCTGAAAAATTAAAATAGTTGATTAAAAGGTAATTAACAAAAATAGTTACTTAAAGAGATAGTTATTAGTAATATTGTCATTCTGTACTGAGCTCATTACCCTAGTAACCAAGCACCAACCACATAGTTATAAATTAATTGACTGTGTCTTTCTGCTGTTCTGTAATGCATCATCCCCCCCCCCCACCTTAGGGACCTGTGTGCTATGTCAACTTTTATTCCCCTTGTAAGAGACAAATGATGCTGTGTCAACCATGGTTCCCTTTATGAGAGACATATGTTCCTGAAATTGGCAGACGAAGGGCTATGAATTGGCTAACCACCCACTGTGAAATGCCTCTGACCTCAAGCAAAGGGGAACAAAGGCCCATCTTATCTCTGTTTCTCATCACTATGTACTTAATGATCAATGAGCTAATCATAAATGAACTATAAAAATCATTCAAAACTCTAACTCAGTTGCACAGCTTTGCAAATTCCATCTGCACTGTGTCGCTGGGCCAGCTAAAATAAAAGCAGTTCTTTTAAAAAAGAAGTCTTACCCCATTTGTCATCTTGGGGTCTTGCCACGTTTTTCATCATGGGGCCCTGTTTTCTGAGTACAGTACAACAGAGTGAATACTTCAAACTATCTTAAGAGCCAAATTGATTTTTTATGCCACATATAATTCCAGTTTATCATTGAAAACATGTACTTCTCAACAAAGACATGAGGTTTGACTGCAAAAATGTTAAGGTCTCTGTAGGTTATGCAGAGTTTGAGATTAAGGCTATGCTTTTGGTAAGATTTGGCAAGAAGTCTGAAGTTCTTCTCCAGAGTAAACTTCCTTTTCCTTCCTTTTTACTCCACCCAAGGGAGACAAGAAGGGCTATGCATTTCACTAAAGCACAGTCCAGATGCATAGGGACTTCCTCTGTCAGAATTAATGCTTTTATTTCTAGAAGGTATGGAAAGTAACCATACACAAAGCTTCACTCCCTAAATAGTGAAAGGTAAGAAATTTGAAAAACAGAAGCTTTCTATGGTCACTGCCTACAAAACTGATTAAAGCAAGAGACATAAAAGGTGCTGCCCTAGGATTTTCGTGAATAGTCTTCCAAAACAGCATGAAAAAAGACATTCTTTCTGAGGTAGTTTCTTCCTTCTCATTAAATGGGTTACATAAAATAGAACAAATTATTCTCCCGTATCTCCCACATCTCCCATATCTCCCACACCTAAAGGAAAATGAAGATAAATTTCCCTTTTACTTATGCAGAAAAAGACTTCAAAACACGTTCTGCACTTTTGATTCCCAATCTAGAACTCAAAATCTTAAGAAAAAACACATGATGTCCCAAATTTTCCTAAGTATAACCTGAAAGTTTTGGTATCCAAGAGAAAGCTACAACGAGATATAAGCAGTCATAAGTAATAGTCCTGTAAACCTCAGGTAACTACATTTCTACTTTTCACTTTGTTTCTACTGTTGACTTTTGTTTTTAAGAAGACAGGTAGAATATAGGACTTATCCTTAGTGGATGCAAAAGTTAACATGTAAGAAGTTATCTCTCTATAACATGAAAAATATCTGTGATTCAGCATGAAACTTTGAGCTCAGGTAATGCCTTAGTGGTCAATGCTGTTGAAATAGCAGCAGATTCTGGTTTCAGAAGGGTAATGGTTAATTTTGGTGGCCAAATCAGACAATTCTGTGTTTTCTACTATTTGATATAGGTACGTGTGTCAGATTCTCTGGAAGAATGTGAATACAGTCAGCTCCCAATATCTATGCATCCCACACTGTGGTTTCCACCAACCTCAGAAACATTATTAATTTTTAAAAACTTTTATCTGTG